TGCTCTGGGCAAGAAGAACTTGTTGAGCCGTTTGCAACTTCAGCATGAAACAAACCTCGTTGTTAATGATGTTCTCTCCCACACATTCTGCGTCTAGGAACAAGTTTGCCGCGCACCTTGGGTCCAGTCCCTAATAATAATAACATGTGATATGCGTATGATCCCATTACCAAAAAACAATGATAAAATCAATGCATACAATGTTGCATATTACCTGAAAGATGCGGCGAAGTGGTCTTGGAGGGGCTTTGATTGCATGAAAGGGTTGAGAAGAACTGTGGTTCCAAGATACCTTACCGTCACATCCTGCACTGACCTTGTAACCGGAAACAACCAATTCCAAGCACCACATATCTGGGTTCTTCTGCCATAACACAAAACCTCCCACTTCAGGTTTCCCTCTTGCTTCAACTTCTTCATCGATCTCACCTTGACGCATTTCCGACCCACATATTCTCACTCGGCCAATTGCATACATACTTTCCAGTGAATTCAATGCTGCCACCCCTCCCGTCGCCGCCACGTACTGCTGAACTATGTACTTCGCATTCGAATCTTGCTGCATCCATCATCCATGCATGAACCCCCGTTTCATTCATTAATAAACAACCAATACGCACAACAGATTAGGTTTATTTAGCTACCAAAATAATGCAATTCTTTATTAACTTCACAAATATGCGCAGTGAAACACACTTTCCAAACCGAAGAAATCATGCTTTCAAGCTATTTGTAATAATGTTTATGCATATAACTAATTGAAAACAAAAAATTCTACTCGTGATATTTGTGTGGCTAGTGGCGAATTGAATAGATAATTGGTAATTAGGGCTTACAATGGAGCAATCTTTGAGGGGGCGAGTCAAAGCGTGGTCCGACGAAAGCTGAACAGGGATAAGGGGGGCACCCACAATCTTAAGCAGCACCAAAAATTCATTGTTCAATGATGATTTGTCAGGAAATCGAGCATTCATGAGAGTTCGGAGATTCTGCCACCGATTGAAGCCATTGGAGCCCATGCTCGTCAACATCTCATCGGGAATAGGCACCTCAAGCACGGTCTCCAACCCATCTTCCTTATCAAAATTAGGACACAACTTCCTCATGATTCTATTTCAAAGGAACTTATGAATGTTAATGAAATTCAAATTAACGGGAAATGCATCTGCCTGTGTTTGTAAATAATGATCAAATCCTTAATTTTGAGGGCTATCAAAAATAGAGGGACCCTCTCTTTCTAGGTAGAGGAGAGGGTACCCTCTATGCCTGGGAAGGCTTTGGGTTAATTTGCTGAGTCTATGTACCTGTGTCCCTACAGAGACGTGCGAGAGGGAAAGATCTTCCGTTCTTTTCCTACGCCGTTCCATGCCCGTAGGGGTAGCTACGTGCACGGCTTTAATTTTCAATGTTTTAATTTAAGTTTATTGTATTAATTACTTTATAATTTTTAAATTTAACTATGCCATGAGGTCTCCTTTTTCTTCGTAAAAATGGGTGATGAGAGAGTGACACTGGTCCCAGTTAATTAATGACCATTATTATAACATAACCATGATTAACATTAATGGCAATAAATGAAAATGAAAAGTAATTATGAATAACGATGATGCCGATGTCTTAATAATGAATAAATACCAATGTGGTCGAGGTTTAAAAGGAGCATGTGACAAATAATGAATATCTTAAAATAATAACAAAATATAAATGATGATATGGTAATTTGTATTGGGATTAATAATATAATTTTCCACATAAGAACTCGATATTCCTTATTTGTTTTTTTTTTTTAAGTTTTCTTATTATCCCTTATGTTACTTACTGACATCGGTATCTATAGTTTTTCTAGTTTTTATTTTCTAAATTTTGAATGAAGTTATTTAAATTGTATATTTTGGAATATAATAGGATTAAAAGTGCATCGTGTAATATTAATAAAAAGAAAAATACTATATTTAAAAATAAATAAATTACGTCTCAAAGTATAATTATAAATAAAATCAACCAGTTTAAAATGATTTCAAGTCTATAAATTAAATTATAAATCATTTTTTTATAATAAATATTTTACTTATAATTAATTTTACTTTAATCGCCTTATTCTAAAAATTATATTCAAATTCAAATAATTTATAGGTATTCTTGAGTATATGGATATACTTGTATACGTGTATTCATTATAATTTTATTAAAACATATAATTAAACACGCATGTCTAGTATCCATTAATATCTATGAAATCTATTCATTTTATATTTTATTACAAATTTTAATTCGCACATTTTTTTTTTTACAATCCTAGCGACTATAATGACATTTTTATATACATATACAGAGCAAAACTCTCATTTCCTATACAATTTCTTTATCAGTTCAGTGTCCATTATTTTATTCCATTCTCCCTCAGAATTTCACCAATCTTTGCCTACAAAAGTTCTCTCATGCCCTTCTATTTTCGTATGGTTATTCAGTTTAATTTAATTATAAATTTTAATGCCGGCAAAAAAATATCAATAATAAAAAGTATTAGTAATCTATCAATATAAAAAATTAAACTCATCGTTTTGAATGATTATATTCGTTATTTTATTTGTTTAAAACTAAAACAATTTATTAACTGTACAAAAGTTTTATAATTTCTTATACGTGAATTTTCTCTTTTATTTTGAATTATAGTCAGTAACTAATTAATAAATTCAAAATAAAACTCCCTAAATGATTTTAGTTAAATGTTAAACTACAACATCTTTTATACTTATTTAAAATTATTTTAATAATATTATAGAGTTAGCTCGTGCTTTAGACGAGTCAAAACTAATTTTACTACATTTACTAGACTTTGACAACCAGTTTATTATATTAGAAAATGTAATTATAATCAATCCATACCGATGAATTAGAATGATAAACTCGTCCGATTAGATAATATGCACTCATTTTATGTAGTTGATTGAGAAATAACTTATCTCCATCTATCGGTTAACACGTTTTTAAGATAATAAAGTGTGTGTGTGTTTTTTTTTTCTGATAGTTTAACAAATAAAATTTGGGAAGAACATGAAAAATTAAGAGAATCCTTTCTCACAACTATTACCAATTCATCATATAGATTTTGATATGCAATGACGCCATGCTAATATAATACTACGATGTTAATACAATGATAGCTTTCTTTATCTACCTTTTATATATATATACGAATAAAAATATATAATTTTTTAACTTTATTTGCCTCCTTTTCCACTTATTTTCGTATTTATTGATTATATTATTTTCTCTCCTTTTAAGTTAACTAGGTAATATCTAAGTTAAAATGTTTCTTAATTTTCCTCTCATCCTCTCTTTTTGTGTGTGATTATTTTATATAATTTGATTTTAAATCACAAAATTAAAACTAAAATTATGAATGTAAAAAAAAATATGCAATTGAAGGTGAAGAATTTACCTTTATATATTTTTTCCCGTTAAAATAATAATTATCAATGAACAATAGTTTAATGTTTTCTGCATTCGATTGGGCTTTATATAGATGAGACCGAACAAAAAAATATACATATGTTTAGCTATACGTTTTTTTAAATGATAAATACTTTAATGTTGGTTTTTAGATTTTAAATCTAGCACTCAACTAACTAAATCGTTATCCGGAGAGATAGTTAATTATTGAAGTATTAGATTCAACCAAAACCAATAAAATATATGTAAATCAATGAACCATCGATTGTCCGTTTTTGAAATGTAGAATTTCGATTTTATATATATAAAAAATATTTAAATAGTTTTATAACTCAACTTTTGTTAAATAATGTAAGATTGAAGAGACGTGGTAGGCAAATAACTAATTGTTTGTTTTTATTTTCATAGGTGGAAATACTCGATTTAACATAGAGTGATATCATTTACGCTATGGTCCAAAACAAACGGCATGTCTCGAATCTTTGATTTGGTACAGAATTTCAGGGTTATTGGTTGAAGACCCAACGCTTTCATGCAGGGAAAAGGTTCTTGCAGAAGCATCACAATTCATTTCATGATTTGTATGAATTGATAAAAGAAAAAAAGTGAATGAGAAATTTTCAAATACAAGATGTGGATAAGAAGATGCAATGCAAACGCCGAAGACTACGTCGGGTGGATTTTTCGCTTGTTTGTACGTGAGTGGCATTTGGGTGTGACAGGGATATCACGAGAAATAATTAATTTTATTTTTTCACTTGATTGTCTAAAAAATTATGTTAATTTATTAAGCATTTTTATGAATAAGTTTTTGAAAATAAAAAAATAAAAAAAAGTAAAGTATAACGCGTGTGATGACGCAATAGAGGTGTGGGCTGAGTCAAGTGTGGAAATGCATGAAATATGAATGTTGTTTGGAAATGGTTGTCCATTTGTGGAGTTATGAAGTGTGATAGGTCGGACACGTATCATATCTGGTTACCAATTCTGTGTTGGGAGCCATGGTGCCAAAATATACGTCCGAAAAACGTAGGTGTGATTTAACTTTTCAGACATTTGATAAAGATGGATCATTCTTTTGCGGTTGGGGATATGCTCTGTTGAACTCGTCAATGCACTGCTGGACACACCTTCTTTTCCATCACTATTCGACAAAAACAAACTATAACTCACATTTAGATCAAATTTCCATAAATATTTTTATTCATTTCAAATTTTATATTCAGTGGCTGTTCGGTTGATTACAGCAGCTACCAACACCTTTCGCAGAACATTTTGCATACTAAGTTTTCAATTGTCGACATTATTAAGTGTTTAATATAGCATGGTGTTAATCCTTTTTTTTCTGGGAAGGTGAGATTCTTGAAATTATGTGCGTGTCTTCATTACGCAACTGAACCCTAAATCACTGTCATTTTCGAACAGCAAGCATAACCTGAAGGCCATTTCCAATACCAACCACACTCTCACTTGGATTCAGTCAGAGACCGTCACCATATTCTCACACAATCAAACCTTTGGTCCCACTTTCCTTTCTCCTTATTACTCTATACATCAATGCCGGCCATTCTTATTCTATTGCATTTCTCTTTATTATAAATATATTCTTAACCCTAAACTGTTTAATACGTGCCATCTTTTCTTTACTTTCCAACTATTACCACACCATGTCCAAACGATTCAAAATCAAATTCAATGTTCCTTCCTTTCAGATATGTCGCTCGAAAGACCTTTCTTCTTTCCCAGGAAACCCCGTTCCTGCCATATACCGTCTCTCTCCCGTTAACCACAACGCACGTCATCCCAACCTTCCTTCTCCCCAATCGTCCAAGATAACGTCGTCCGTTTCGCAGGGGTGCAAAATGTGCCGTGACAAGGAGCCGTACAAAGCCAAATCCAGAAGCCGGAAAGGCACGTCGAGCGTTCCGTCGAGGCGAAGCGATTTTCTGATCGACAACGTCGAGGAAGAGGAAAGCGAGACTCTGATTTCTTGCTTGACGAGTTTCTCCGACGATATTTGTCACGACGAGGCGAGGGACTTGAGAAACAGTAGGCATAGAAGGAAGGCGAGCAGCGTGAAGAAGGTTCAGAGCGTGAGGTTTCGGAGCTCTTCGGAGAATCGAGGAGGAGCGGGAACGACGGAGAAGGTGAAGAAAATGTCGACGACGGTGACGCGGAGCAGTGTTGAGGGGAAGGTGAGGGAGAGCTTTGCGGTGGTGAAGAAGTCGAAGGATCCTTACGAAGACTTCAAGAAATCGATGATGGAGATGATAACGGAGATGGAGATGTCTGAGGCGGAAGACCTGGAACAGCTTTTGCAGTGTTTCTTGGCTTTGAACTCGCGGAGTTACCATGCAGTCATCGTTAGAGTTTTCATGGAGATATGGCAACAAATGTTCGTGTGGAACCCAAAGTCCGTGAAAAATCTCACGGACGTTAAAACTGATACGGAAAAGTAAATTGTGCTTTGTTTAAGGTTACTTTATATGTGAATGAGTTAGTCTTAGGATGTTTGATTTGTTTTTGGATTGAAAATTTATTCATATACACCTTTTATTTAGTCTGCTTCAATTCTAGTCAGAGAAATATTATGAAAAGAGATGTGTGGAATACATGTGCTGTAATAAAAAAAGAGATGACAGTGTGAGTCAAATTTTACAGTGATTATACAAAGTGATTCTAATGTAGGTTAAACTGAAGATTATTGCACTCAAACTTACAAAAACGCGAATTTATGTTGTTTTGTCATCAATATAATACTTTCATAAGGAAATATTTGTTTTTATTACAAAGTATTTTGAATTGTATAATGATAATTATTTATTACAAATACTAGAGTGAAAAAAATACATGTAATTAAAAAAAAATAGAAGAAATTTTAGTGACAAATAACTCATAATACACTGTTGATGGATTAGATTTATCTTTAAAATTAAATATCTTATACCATTGAAAAAATATAAATTAACTGATGTCCTTGATTTTATAAAAAGAATAAAATATTTTTCAAATACATATATAGCTTTTGTAGAATAATATTATCATATTAATTGTTTCAATCGAAATATATTTTTCAAAATTAAAAATAATAAAAAAATATTTAAGATTAGTCATTATTAAACAATAGTTAAATGGATTAAACTTATTATCTATTAAAAATATAAATATTAAAGAAATTAATTACAATAATTTAATAGATAGTTTCATATTATAATTTTTTTAAAAAAAATTATAATATATTTTAACATAAGTTATTTTATTAAAAAATAAAATAAAAAAATCATTTTTAAATTTGTTTTTATACCTCCCAAATTCTATATAATAATATTTATTCTTATATTATTTCAAGATATCATTTGTAGATTATAAAGATTTAAGTTCCATTTGGTTTTAATATTCATGTTTGTAAAACAACTACAGTGTCTATTTGTAATTTTTTCTAGATATCGACGCATTCCTTTACGATAACAACTTTATTATTTACACCACAATACAAAATAAATAAATTAAGATACTTATTCATAAAAGTCTACAAGCTATTTTTATTTTTTTAATCTGTGTTCAACTTCATTTTATGTCATCGTTCTAACATGTCTTATATTTACAAAATAAACATTTAAATTGTGGTTATGAGACCATCAAATCTAAATATGTTCAATTGATCCTTTATACTACTTTATTATTATTTAATTTGTAATATTTACATACCAAGATTAGTAAAATTTATATCATAATCAGTTATCATGTTTTTATCATAGATGGAAAAAACACTAAACTCTTGGCTTTATTTGGATGAGAGAGATGAATTTGGGGAACTAGATTACGGAAAGGTGGGTTGTTTAAATAAATGAAAACAGTCTTATTTGAGTGATTTTGGGAAAAAAAATGTATGTATAATATAATGAGTAAGATAGATAAAAAAATGTTTCAATAAATAAAATTATATGATTATGATTTTATCCTCAAAGACAAAAGACATATAAATTTAAATATACATAGAGTAAATTATATTAAAATGGGATTAGAGTTGTTATTTTAAATAATAAAAAAAAAATAAGCTGAGAAAAAATATAAATTAATAGGGCTTGGTGGGAAAATAGTTTCAATTGTATTTTCTTGAATAAAATTTTTATATTTTTCTTGTAATTATTTTTAACATTATGATTGTAACAATTTTTAAGATTTATTGTCATAGTAAACATAAAATTACGTTGTTATAAACATTATAAATTAAGAATTATTGAATCATATTAAAATAAAATAACAGTGGTTTATAATAAGTTGTAATTTAAATGAATAGTTTGTAATAAAATATTATAATTATTTTAATGTACTCAAGGATGATAATATTGTAAGATAGGAAATTATATTGTTTGAATGTTTGAAATGTGTTATATTTAGAGGATGAAAAGATAAAAGAAGAAATTATTTATCGAAACACATACATATATAATTAAAGTTAAGAAACATTCATATTAGTTATGTTACTCATTAATATAAGCAAGAAGTAACCTATTATGATGATGTTGTAGAAACATATATCTATAAATTGTGAGATGTAACATGGATCCGATGTAAGAAAAAAAATATAGTATTGATCCATTATTTTATTGTCCGAAATATTCATTATTTTTATTTTCTAGATCATTGGATGAGATCAAAACAATAGCGTATGATCTATTAATGAAACTTTTAAATTGATTGACACACTTTTTAAATAATAGTTTAAATCTTCCAAATATGAAAGAAAACGGTGAGAATGAATAAGTTTAATAATTACAAATATATATTTTTATAATAATTTTTGTAATTTTTTTAAAAAAGATATCCACTTTACGTAAGCAAATACAATTCCAACAATTCCATATAAAGATCCAACAAGGAAAAAGATTCATGACAACAATTTTTCCTCAAATAAAAATCCGCAAATGACCTTACGGGAGTTTAACAATATAATTTTTAAATTGAAAATTCTCATAAAAATAAAGTTGTAAACTAAATTTGAAAGAATAAATATTGAGATCTAAAATAGAAAAATATTAACGATTCTTAAATCTGATTGATGTCCTTGGTGGATTTTTAATTGTTAGACAATTAAATGTAACATCAAATAGTGAAAGCTTAGTTTTCGTACAAGTTATCAAACGAATAAAAATGAAAACTATATGTCAACTTATAGTTTAAATGTTTCGTTTTGGGTATTCAATTACAACATTTATAATATTTAAAATAAGAATTCTAAAGAAAGTCACTGGATTCGAAAATTGAGAAACTACAAATCTATTTTTATTTCAAAATTAGAAGAAAACTACAAATCTTTTTCTATAAACTAAATGTTATTATTTTATTATTTTTTGTAAAGAAATTCTAATATTATTTTAACTTACATTTGAAATGTATATTTTAAACGATTTTGATCATTATATATGGCCTGAGATTTTTTATTATGTCATATACTTGTATTTTATAATATTTTGTAATTAAAAAAATTGATTATGTACTGTCAATTTATAGTATGTAAGCCCTTAATAAAGGCTAACATAATAATTTGGTCGATTTTAGTATTACCTAATTAAAAAAAACACATATAAAAGTGAGTTGATAATATAGACTTTTGTCCACTAACAAGACGTGTTTTTATTTTATTTTATTTAAAATAATTGAAAGTTGTTTTATTCTGAATTGAAACAATTTAAATGTGATTTTGATTTTAAAATTAACGATGAAAGGAAAACAATTAGTATAATTCGAATATATTTATTAAGAATTTGGGAAAAATGTTTTACTGTTTCTATTTTTATTAGAACTTTTTTTAATAAAATATTCAATAATTATTATTTTTAATATTTATGATAACTTTATTTAAGAAAAGGAAAAAAACTTTTCTAGCTTTTCTTGATGAACAATTTATAATTTTTTTTATAATAAATAGATATAGTAAAAA